CGATAGAATAGTAAATGTTGATGAAAGTGGGATAATCACAGTTTTGCAAATGGGTCATTCTCAGTTAAGCCGTAAATTCGACGTCCATAACAAAAAATCACCTTTTTTAAAAATTTTTATTAAAAAGAATATTATTTTCTCTTAAAACTCGTGCTCATATAATTGGTCACTCAAATTCATTTCTTAATTTTATTTAATTTAGTCACAATTTCACCTCAAAGTCGGAAAAGATCTCTCCCCTGGCTTGTCCCCGGGCCGATTCTGTTTATTTATTTGTAATTTTAAGTACTTGAAAATCAAATAACTTATTTAAATTATACATTTCAACAAAATAATTTAAATAAATTATCGTAATCAAGCAAGTAAAATTGCGTGATATTTTCTTTTCTTAAAAAAAAATTACGTTTACGTTTGTCCCCCGTATTTTGCGTCTCGTCCCCTGGCACGCTTATTTTTGTGTAAAATCGGCATTTGTTTACTGACTTGCGGGAATTGAAGACCTTGAGCGAACGTTGTTGAGTGTATAGTTTGTAATCAGAGCCACTCGAACTAGGGGCGCAGTCATTTAGTCATTTATTTCGTTACTGGCACTCTGTGCATACAGTTGACAACGAGCGAACGGAGTCTCTCCCCTGGCAAGTTTTATTTTTAAAACATTCATCTAAAAAATTTAATTCATTCGAATATTTACTTCTCGTTGTTAATAGATTCTAACTTTTCTTGGTTAATTTCATACAATAAATACATTTGTCATTATTTCTATTTTTGTTACTAAAAAGTATCTCCCCTGTTTATATCTCCCCTGTCTTGTAAGGGCCAGGGGAAAGACACGATATCCAGGGGAGATATGAAAACTTTAAATACTAATTATTATCAATTAATTATTGATAAATAAAATTATAAAATGACTGAAGAAAGTTAATACTTCAATAAAATGTTTTCTTTCATAAAATAATGTTAAAATCCTTTCTCTAATCAAATCAAAAAGTATTCTACTCTGTACATTAAGTCTCTCCCCTGGATGAGTATCTCCCCTGGCATCTTATAAAACGAGATAAAATCAATAAATTGACTGACCGTCTTGCAGGCACGTTTGAAATGATTGTTTTGATCGAACCATTGTAAAATTTGATTTCAATTTCAAAATTTTTGTCGTGCCGCGTTTTATCAATAAGCGATTTACGTCTCAACTGAGAATGACCCATATGCCAAAAATGCTAGAAAAAGTAGTAAGCAGGTTGGGGTGGGAGTGGGTGGGGAAATAGGTGAGCAAGTGATATTTTGTGTCATTATCATTGCAAATGGAAATGCAGTACTACCAGTTTACATTTTTCCCAGAGTCAGATTTAAAGAAGCTTTTTTTAACAGATGCGCTAGAAGGTAGTATTGGCATACCTTCCTCTAGTGGTTGGATGACCAATGAAGATTTCATGTTATACAAATACATCTAAAGGAAATCCAGTATTAGTTCTCTTAGACAATCATAATACGCACGCTACATTGAACCTGATTTTGTACTGCAGAGAAAATGGACTGGTTCTTTTAACTTTTCCTCCACACACGACACATCGGCTCCAGCCAGTTGATGTTTTTGGTCTCTTTAAGGCACGTTGCCGAGCTCATTTAACTTATGGATGTCTGCATATCCAGGAAAAGCAATAACAATATATGAAATTGCACTCTAAACAGCTAGTCCCCTTAATGAAGCATTTAGTCGCCAGAATATATTATTTGGGTTTAAAAAAAACAGGTTGCTCTCCTTTAAATAAAAACATAGTTACTCCAGAAGATTTTCTTGGTAGTGAGGTTACTGAATCTGAAGACCCTGCTACATCCAACCCAAATGTTAGCAGTAATCAAAATGACCTGCCAGTTATTCAAAACGAAACCGCTTCTATAAGTATAGTTGAAATTGACGAACACCATAACCTAGAATTCAATCAAATTAAAATACCAGCAAATATAAGTTATTATGAGACAATAGAGCCTTGCCCCTCTACTTCAAAACCTTAAATGTAATATAATATCCTGTATAAAAATTAATCCAGAACAAGTGAGACCATTTCCAAAATTAGTAAAAATTAAAAAGAAAAATAATAGAAAAAAAAAAAGATGTTCAACAATTTTAAAGAAAGATTAGAAAGTTAGGAGAAAGAAAAACGATAAAAAAACGTCGTAATGAAGTAAAATAAAGAAACAAAACAAAAAAATAAAGAAGAAAAAATATATTCTTAGGATTTTTTCCGATGACTCATCTGAAAGTAATGACAAGGAAACTCTTTGTGAAGAGTCTGGGGACAGTCCCATGGAGGAAGATAAAGATGAACCCGTTGACTGGGAACTAACTCACTTAACAAAGAATGTCTTTGTGCTTGTAAAATTTGCTACTAAGAAAACAATAAAACACTATGTGGGACAAATTTCGACCAAAATATTTTACTCTGAATATGTTGTGAATTTTTAAAAAATTACGACAAGGGAGAAATTTATTTTTCCTGGTATAAAGGATGAGTCAGAAATAAGAGCTGAAGATATTATATTTAAACTGCCACCTCCAGTCAAATCTACGGGAATCGCAAGATCTAAGGGGTTTTTCAAATGTTCTCTTATTTTTTTCGTCGAATAATATGGGTTAGTTTTGAAATAATTTTGTTTTATTATTTTGACTTTTTTATGACTTAATAAATCATATTACAGTGTAGCGTCTTTTTTTATTTAAAAGCATTTTACATGCAAAATATTAGTATATTTGTTCACAACTGTCTCATACTTATTTTTAAATTTCCACTTGTACCTCCTTATAAGGCACATGTGGACATTCTGCAAATCATATATTTTTTTATATATGTGAGGTTATTGTTTCAAGTGAGGACTGAAGTCCAGAACTTTTGCCGAAACGGCGAGACTGTTTCGGGCGTCTAAGTCCCGAAACAAAGTAATGTGTAAAGTTTTTGTGCAGCGTTTTGTTAAGTATGGGTAAATATCTTTAACTTATTTTTTAAATGTTTTGTTTGGGATAATGAATTGATTTACATATAAATGCCAATTTTACATTTTCGACTCAAGTATTATATTTATCTTACATATATATATTATATTATTAAAGAAGATAAAAGGATTATTGGGCAAATACCGCAAAAAAATGAAAAAAAAATGCCTAAAGGCAAACCGTAGACACGTGTTTCTGACTATTGGTCTTCATCAGTACGGTGCAGCCAAGTTCAAAAGAGAATGGAACTAGCGATGAAATCAAATCAACAGGAGATCACTCAAGAAGCCAACTACACATTTGTGGACTTTGCTAACATTCCCAGTGATTTCTAGGAAAATATTAGCGTCGCCACGGAGGCATTTCTATTCCCTTAGGAGCCTAAAACTAGTTGCCAAGACCCGCTCGACTATGCTATTAAGTGATAATTTTTGTTCTTTTAATTTAATTTTTTTATTATTTTTATTTTCCACTGGTGAATGGATGTTCCTTCTAGACTCCAGGACCCTTTGGCTGTTGCCTTAATCCCTTAATAGTATATTACTAACAGTAGCTAAAGACCTATCAGTGGTTACAAATGGTCTTTAGACTTTCTGGTTGTTACATTTGGTGACAAGCGGTGGTCCATTAGGCTAGTTGGTTGTTACATTTGGTGACAAGCGATGGTCCTTTAGACTCCCGGTTGTTATATACACAGTCAAGATATAATATAGCTATAATTAAATTCAAACCATTAAAGCAGATTGAACTATTAAGAATTTTCTGTTAGCAATAAATAATTCTAAATTGTCTACATGTGCCTCCTTATCCCCTAGGCATTGAATTATATCCAACAGAAAACAGCAGATATAGAAAATTAAATCAGCTATTCTAAAGTTAGTGCAACGATTTTTTTTTTGTCTAATATTCCCATTTCTATAATATTTTTTGGGACAAATTTTATATATTTTTAAATATATCTATGCAGTTATGTTATCCAAAATAATTATAATTTTTCAAAATACAATCCTGCCAGCACCTACAGTGCAAACTCAGAAAATTTCAATTTTATTTCCTTTGTAGGAATGTTTTCTAAACTGTCAATTCCATTCTCCCTATTTCATTTAAATGCGCCAATATTAACTTGAATGAAGGACAGAATATTAACCATTTATACTTCCTTAAATTTAAAAACTCTGTTTGATATCTGTAAATATTATTTGTTAAAATGTTAATACGTTAAACGATTTTGTATTTATCAAATTATCAGTTCAATAAAAGTCTTTTTGAACCTGAATTTACACGAACTTTTATATCGTATTTCACTTTTCGGAAATCTTTCATTTTATTCCCCCATTATGTCAAACTTTTTCTGTAGATGTATCATTTTTTCCGGAGTGTTCTCGAAGTGGAAGGAAAACGAATTTTTTTTGTATTTTTGCAGAGAACAACGAAAAACGTCTCTGTCTGAAACCTTTAAGTATTTCGCCAAACTTTTATTATTTCCAAATATGCATATTAGCCAAAAGGCACGTATTCTTTTTTTTTCGCCTTAAATACATTTATCTGTCTGAAAAATGTTGCGAAGTGAAAGTTCGAGAGAATTTGAATGACTCTCGAAACAAAAACTAATATTTCATTTGAAAGTAGGCATCATGCAGTACGAATATTTGTGTAGATACCACTGAATATACCTATACCATGCTTACAATATTACAATTCAGTTTCAGATAAGAAAATAGTGCTTTCTACATTGTTGTTAGTACAATAAATTAGCATGTCAGAAGTAGCATAATATCAATTAAATATAACAGTCTTGCCAACTAAAAATTTTTTTGCTAGTTGAGATTGTATTACAAATTACAAAAATACCGCTACCCCAAGCTCTATTCAAATCTTAAATTTAACCTTCTACCCCGAACAATATACCAACTTCCTGGAACCGATCCTCTTCCTCATCTCAAAGAGAATCTTAAGCGTAATTAATGTGATTGGGTGACTGCACGGCTTCACGTGACTTATTGTTACAGGTCGGAGCCCCTGCCCCTGGAGGTCAATACGCACACTATAAAGAGGATCTGTATCTCTACGGTCAGAGGGCGTTCAACATGCCCCCTGATAGGCACTATCGGATGCTGCACGTGGCAGGTGAAGAACAACCGCCCATCGTTGTGCTGAGCGTCATCGTCATCGAGGCCGAAGGACTGGAGGCCAAGGATGCAAACGGTAATCATTTTATCTTTTTGTTTGATTAAAAAAATCGATCGACTGATTTTGCGTCAATGCCAGTTTATTTAGTTAATAATTTATTAAAGAATTGATTTTAAACAAATGTACAGGTCATGAATTATTGTAGTATCAAGAAAAATCCTCAATATACTTCACATTGGTATACAGGGTGTCCAGAAACGCTCTTCAAAGAATGAAACCACGAAATCTAGAGCTGATTTTATAACGATTTAGCCTAAATTACCTTAATCCAAAAATGCTTCCTAAGGGAGCTAGAGCTCTTTAAAAATACCGCTCTTAAATGGGTTTAATTGAAATACCTTCAAAACGGATTTTTATTAAATGATATTATTCTGTACATTTAGTTATTTGAATCTAACCAATCAAATTTCGTAAACAAGATTTTTTTAATGTAGTCATAAGCGGCTCGTTTGGGCGGGGTATTGGATTTTTTTTTGTCGCCATTATGAAATGAAATTTAAACAATTTCGTAATTTTCACACAAAAATAGTGCTCTTATTTGAAGTCTCCATGACCAACCGTTTTCGAGAAAAATCGACTTAAACTTTTCATGTCTTTACATACGTTTTCATTGATTAACAAATAAATTTCAAAATTATAATAAGGTGGCCATGGAAAATAAACAAAATACCTAAGAATTGTATAAATACATATGGACGGTTAGATAGTGATAGGTTTAGGTGCCCCATTTTCGCATACAAGCCTCGAAGAGGGTTGAAAAATACATCGATTTTAAGTAGAATGAAAGTAAATTTACGAGTAGCTCCTGGGAATAACACATGGAAAATTCGATTTTCCCAACAAAAATAAAAGGTTATTTGTTGTCCATATTTCCACGCAAGCCGTTTTCACTATATGATTAATTAATAGAACTATGCTTCGGAAAACCAAAGGCTTTAATGTTGCAAGTGGCTAAAGGGTTGAAATAAATGCGTAATCCTCTAAGGAAAAATCGAAATTTTACCAGATTTTTCCACACAAGCTAATCGAATGTATGAAAACGTACATCGTCAATAGTCCGAAAAATATATTTTCTTGAATGAACTGTATATATAAGTGCATTTTGGGGTCAAAAATTTTTTCTGATAAGGAAAATCCAATTTTCCATGTTTTATCCCCAAAAGCCACTCGTAAATTTTCTTTTATTCTACTCAACATCGATGTACTTTTTAACCCTCGGCTTTTATGCGAAAATGGGGCACCTAAATCGGTCACTATATGACGGTCTAATATTAAACTGTTTTTACCCAAACTTTATGTAGGTACTAAAAAAAAATGTATTCAATTAATAACTGTGCTTTTCTGAAATAAAAAAATTAATTCATGTAAAAATTAAAGTTTCTGTTGATACAATTTGTTTAAAAAAATAATAACGAAATCATCAGTATTAAACACAAAATTAAATCTAAAGCAGATGTTCCTCATGACGACCATCCGTTTCTATGCACAAATTTATTCGTTTCCGTAAAGATTGCCGAATTCTTGCAAAAATTGCTATATTATTTCTAAATTCGTTGCCAGCATTTTGAATTCGTCTCCAAAGGTGATTCCGTGATTCAATTTATTGCGAATAAACTATTGATTTGAGATATTTCCATACACAAAAATCGCATGGATTTAAATCCGGAGACCTCGCTGGCCAAGCAACGGGACTGCCTTTTCCTATCCATTGATCTCGGTAATTATTGTCTAAAAACTCACGAACATTCCTCCTAAAGTTCAAATTAAGATGGCGCCGAAAGTTGTGACGGTCAATAATTCAGTCACACCATCACACCAAAATGATGTCTATAGTTTTTATAGATTGCTCACCCATATGCAAAGTTGTAGTTATTTTAGTTGGTAATGTAATGTTTATATTTCTTATATATTCAATGCCAAATGTGGCTCTGATGACAATGCCACGACTCCGCACGGTTAGAATATAACCTGATGTAGAATCTGCTTTTGGCAAGAAGCCCTCGAATGCTTCCCCACTGCTTTAAATGAACAAAAACTTCATCTCGCCAAGATATATCTTCCATAAGCCATATAAAGTTATAACAAAACAATGAGAAGAGCCAAAAGTGGCAGGTACGATTCATATCTATACCGACGGTTCTAAAACAAAGCAAGGCTCAGCATGTGGAATATACTAAGATCCTTAAACCTAAACATAAAATGGGCTGTGAGCAATAGTGCCAATGAAGTTCAAACCGAGCTCAAGGGGATTCTCACAGCAGCAAAAGAAGTTATCAGAAACAATATCACTAGAAGAAACATGCTCATCGATACAGATAGCGCCACACAAGCACTAATCACCTTGAACAGACCATGAATTTACTCAGGGTTCATACTAGAACGCCAAGAAATTTTGGCTGAAGTATGCATCAAGAATGTGTGCCAAATAATTTGTGGATCTGATCCTTTTATTGAACTGACAACATTGGTAATGCCACCTAATTAAAGAACATTCACTTGTAAAATTCAAACAAAACTGGAATTAAATAGAGTTGCCAGGTAGCTTTTAAGTTTCGTTGGCAATACTACAGCAGACAATGACTAGACAGAATCTGCACCTGATTACAGGCATTCTTCTTCTCCAGTGTATGGATCTGTCAGAAGACGTACTTTGAAAACGCTTTCTGCAGTAATTTTCTTTACGATTTCTCGACGCTCTGATTTATTAGAAGATTTGTGTTCGGCGAGAATTGGTTGACACCGTCCGATATAAGACAAGCACCATTAAATAACGAAGGCTTACGAGCTAAGAGGGGCCTCTCAACTTAGGAGGATGCAGAATGGGTTTACCCATCCTCCACACGTTAAATATACAGACAGATGCCAAATAATCATTTTAATTGTATTGACTAGACTTTTTTTCTACTTTTTGAAATTAAACATTTAAACAATTATGTTCCAATAAAAATAAAGATAGTTCATAAAATTCCTTGTCAAATAATTTTAGAAAGTTTTAATTTTACCATTACTAATTAACATATATTATCAATCTTTTAATAATTAATAAAATACAAGTATTCATCTCTTTATTACTTAAGATAATACGCTTTTCATCGTCTGATAATCAATCTATATAACTATTATATATCATTGGGTCTCGCCCTTTTAGTACACGAGCGCCATTTGGGCCATTTTCTGAAACTTTATTTACAGATTTACAGCTTTTTGTAGGCACTTTTTGAGATAAACAACCATATTAGATTGTCCTCCATTCCCCTATACTCCATAATCGAAATGGTATTACGCTAGTTCGGTGTGATGTCATTTTGGTTCCACTGACATTTATTTCTAACCAAACTTTTAAAGAAAACATCAATAAATTTGATATATACGTTTTTACTGTTTTTAGTTTATTTCTAAATATTGTTTACAGCTCATAAAAATTAGTTTAAAGGTATATAATTGGTAACTATAACGATTGTATATTTGATGCATGTTAACTACTAACTTTAGGAATATATTTATAAAAGTGAAAAAAACGATATAATTTAGGTTAACAAAACGAACAAAACGCACTCAAAAAATCTACTATCACTTTAATTGTCAGTGGAACCATAATTACATCATCACTGAACTTGCGTATTGTATGAGAAATTCGGCAATATGACAGTTCATTGCGTTACTTTTAATTTTAGCGCCTTCTAGCGGGATAAAAAACTGTAACGTATTGTAAAGTGTTACACTTATTTTTTAGATAATTTTATTAATAATCCAATGCACCACATAATATTAACATAAATATTGAACTTGCAAAAAAAATACAAACTTGGAATAGCCACGTGTGAGTTGGTTAGATTAAAAGGTAGAAAAAGAAAAAGGTCCTTTAGATCTCACAAAGTTCTCCTTTTTTTAATTAAATTTTCCTTTTACCTTTTATATTGTTTTTTTTATGTATAATCTTTCTTCAAACAAATTTCAATCTAGAATAATTCATCTGCATCTAACACAATCCCACAGATCTTATAATCTTTCAAATACTTTTTTCATTATAAATTTCCATTTGACATTCAACTAAAACAATAATTAAAATTAAAATCGTATGACAGTCTTAACTTGATTGTTTCTTTCGAATACGATTTTTACACCATTCCAACATTGCCGATAACACAATTTTGACAAACAAGAATATTTCTACAAAAATACAGGGTGATTGAACATCCTTAAATATTCAGACGTAATCAATTTGCCCTTCAGAACTTTCCGTATCAAATCCCCTAATTTGATCTTCACACATTTTGCAAAAGCCATATTGTGAATTTCAAATTTATCAAACTTTAGATTTTAACTTTTTAAACCTTTATGATTTTAGTGTTTGAAATGTTGGTATGCTAACAGTAATCCCAAAAAAAATTTATCCTTATTTAAATTCCTTTTTATCTCATTTTATTGAATTTGTATCTAATATATTTATTGCTTTGTAATCTTTTTAACTTATTCGTTTTGTACATATTATTTTTATTTCATCTCTCTTTTCATTATAAATATCCTATGCATTTCCTTTTAAAGTTCCTCTTTCTTTTTCATACTTTTTTTCGTCCTTATTTTCTTATTATTTATCATACTATTTATATAATTCTACATTTTTAATATTATAATCACATTATTTATTATCCGCATTTATTTACTATATCTGATTTGTTGATTCATATTTCATCACATGTAAAAAAATATCCGTTTTCATCTTAAACCATTAACTATTCATATTATTTATACTTTAACTTTAAATATTATTCTTCTTATGTATACAAATCTTACTATCTACATCATTCAAGTCACATTACTCTATTTTTGCTCTGTCTCCTATACTAGGTATCATTTTGAATTTCTCTTCCTTTTACTCTATCATTTTTATCTAAAATATCATCTTAACTTTCACTCTGTAAAATTTTCATGACAAAACAATTTCCAAATTATTGGAAAAAAATGACTTAATTTGTAACCTTTCTTGTAAACACTTTTGTATATAGGTAAGTTAGATCTAACTCATCTATTTTTTATTTCTGAATACCCGGTCTAATTTATAATCATTTTGTTACAACATGTAGATACAAAAACTCTTATCATGCATCACCCGCTACTAAAGTACACATATCTGTTTATTCCAAACGTCAATCTTAATTCGTTATTTTTCTCGTTTAAGGTTTCAGTGACCCGTACTGCATGCTGGGCATCCAACCGATGGCCGCCCCGTCGTCTCCCCAACCATTAACCCCCAACCGGACTCTGTCGGACGTTTGTGGCGGCATGACCGGCGACGGGCCCTTGCAGGCCAATCACAGCATCTGTGCCGGCGGCGAGAAGCTGCGTAAGCACCACAGCTTCAAGCTGAGCTTCAAACGGAAGGACGGACGCGTCAGGGAGCAGAGAGACAGCATCGGGGGGGCATTGCCCGCCAAGTTTATAAGAGCCACGTCCGTTAAGCCGCATACGCTTAATCCGAAATGGAACGAGAAATTTCGATTGTAAGTATTAAAGCTTTTCTTGTTTTTGTAATCATAATAGCAACTCGCATAAAAAGGTTTGACCAATGGGGTTTCAGTTTCCTTATTGATTATTATTCTACAAAGCTCAACTGACTAGTTAAAAAATGTAATATTTTGACAAAAATAATATATATTTATACATGGTGGGCCACTAGTAACGCATCGGTGTATAGACCCAAAAAAAATTTTTTAATCTGTTTTCATACAGAAACATAATATATCAGAAAAAATAACAATTTAAAAATAATTTCTATTATACAAGGTTCTCCAGTAAACTGATACATATAAACGTTAAGTTTTTTAAATGGGACATTCTGTATTTTATATTATATTTGAATTGCCTTCGCCTTTTTTTATTAAAACAATACCAAACGCTGTAACCAGTTTTATGTGAAGATCAAACTGATTTCAACGACCTGTATTACAGTGTATAGTTCAGAAAAATAATTATGAAAAACCCATTGATAGAAATGTTACAAGCAAAAATGTTTAATGGTGAAATATTGTCATATTATCCGCACCTACGGGTAATATGACATTTATCTTGGGGCTAAAAGACAACGTTGCATGAAAAAATAATCAAAACTACAAAATTAAAACTATATAAAAAAAATTAAATATTCAGTTCTCAACTTCTAAATAAATACTGGTATAAAACTTCTTAATGCAGTCTAATGCACTGATGATTTTGTGAGGCAACAAAATATTCTAGCATAAATCTAAATTTCCGGGGTATGTGAAGTTAGCATCTCAAATCTTAGCATCTCATATTTTGAGCGGAGTTCTTATGGCATCCGATATAGTTCTATAGTTCCTGATACTTTCTATCAATAGTTCTGTCGAATTTAGTACCAAAAAATGCAATTTAAAAAATGAGATGTTAACGACCGAAAGTTAGCATCCCAATATAATAAATGAAATAAAATAAAAAAAGCAGACTGTTAATCGATAGTTTACGAAGAGTTCTAGAGTTCTTGTTCGTTTAAATAACTAAATAATTTTCATTTACAGCTCTGGCACTCTTAAAATATTTACAAGTAATGATTATACATATAAATTCTAAGCGATAGTAAAATGCTTTCATATTATGACAACTTCTAGAACACATATTGCTCCTAAATTACAATGCTTCTAAATAATAACTTGACTCTCTCTATATTGAGACCCATAGAGTTCTAGAATCTAGCATTTTTTGAAAATTTTTAAGTATTATTAATAAATAGAAATTAAAGACCATAGTGAGATGCTGCCATATTATGTTCTAAAATATACAATGCTTCTAAATTATAACTTGACTCTCTCTGCATGGAATCCCGAAAAGTTCTAGCCTCTAGAACTTTTTGAATAATTTTAAGTAATTAAATTTAAGTAACAGAAATTATAGACTATAGTGAGATGTTGTCATATTATAATGAGTTTTAGAATATTTAAGGCTTCTTAATGATAACATAATTTTTTTCCATTAAGACCCAAAGAGTTCTAGACTCTAACACTTTTTTAATAATTTTAATTATTAATAATAAACAAATATTATAGACTATAGTGAGATGATGTCATATTATGATGAGATCTAGAATATACAATGCTTACAAATGATAACTTGACTCTTTCTGCATCAAGACCCAAAGATTTCTAGCCTCTAGCACGTTTTCAATAATTTAATGTAACAGAAATTATAGACCATGGTGAAATGCTGGCACATTATGACGAGTTATAGACTATATAATGCTTTTAAATAACATATAGACTCTACATAGAATCGGGAAGAATTCTATCCTCAAGCACTTTTTGAATAATTTTAAGTATTAATAGTAAACAGAAATTATAGACTATAGTGAGATGCTGTCATATTATGACGAGTTATAGAACATATAATGCCTCAAAATGATATCTAGACCCTCTTTGCATTGAGACCCAAATAGTTCTAGCATCTAGCACTTTTTCAATAATTGTAAGTAATAATAATAAAATTAATAAAATTATATACTAGAGACCAAACCAAGAACGGTGAAATAAAGTGCTATGAGGTGGAGTCAAAGTTGAAATTGGAAGGAGATGTGAACTCTCCTCGTGTTAAAGCCCCAACTTTCGACGGGAAGATGTCATGGACCAACTACCTTATATAGTTCGAGACAGCTGCGAGAGCAAACGAATGGTCTGAGAGAGAAAAGGCAGTTAATCTGATAATCGCCCTTTGAAGAGACGCTTGAGATGTCCTTCAGACTTACCCGTGGAAGATACGGATGATTTTGAACAACTCAAAAAGAGACTAAACGTGCGATATGGCCACGAACACTCGGAGCATTTATACCAGTCACAGTTAAAGAATCGTAAACAGAAACGAGCCGAGACTTTTCAAGAATGCCAGGTTGGTGTGATTTGCTTACCCATCAGCTCCGGAAAACATGAAAACATGATGGAATGTTTGGCAGTCCAAACATTTGTTGATGGAGTCCGTGATCACGAGATGCAGAAAACACTCCGCATAGCCCGCTACAAAACATTGGTCGATGTCTTGTCCGCTGCTTTAAAGTATGAGACAGCTACGCAGTCTTCTGGAGGATACAGTTAAGTGAGAACTAGTTAACATAAAAAGAGCATGACTGAATAATGAAATGGCACGCATTACAATATGATAAGCCAGTATCTTCCACAATGTCCCTAATGCGTACTTGTCGATCTTGCAGTACCATGTCGTGTACTGTTTTAGTGTTTTTGTCTGTTGTTACCGTTATGGGAGGACCACCAGTATGCTTGTTTTCACAGGATATTCTTCCGCATTTAAAATCTTTGACTATGTCATAAGCAACTGCAGACTCCCTAATAGTTGTCACAATGTCTTTATGAATTTGAGTTGGCGTCATGTCTTTTTTCTGGAGGTATTTCATTACGGCTCTTTGTTCTATAGGATCCATTTTTATGAACAATCATGCCACACAGTTTAAGAATTAGCCACAGCACAACAACTCTTTGAGATACAAAGTTGATAGTTTGTAGATATGATCTACAAAAGTCAGTTAACTAACACTTAGAAATAGGTCAGGGGCAGAGCATAGAGATCCACCCTTGTATATTGTAATCATTTCACACATACAGGTGGTTGTACATGTACCTACACCTTAGATAACAACTACACCTAGTCGCAAACTAACGATATATTTTTTTTGTAGTTTTAGTTTGTACTATAATTATTATTACGTTTGTAATTGTAATTACTGACTTTAAACCATTATACCTGTAGTAGGAAGTTGCTATTTATTTTTTGTTGATGTAGGTGTAGCATAGATAGTTGATGAGATCGAGTTCTGTATTTTGTCATTTAAGGTAACCCTTCGTATTTTAGAGTTTTAAGCATTTCCTGTTATCATTTTTAGTTGATTAGATATAGCCATTGTAAGTATTTAAATTGTTACCCCGTATGTGAACTAGTTAGCACCTTATTTACCTCCATTTTCAAAGCAAAATTTATTTGACCCGTTTTTAAACGGAAAACCGTTTTATGGTTGAAAAATCGACAACATAAATAAAATCGTCAAATATTTGAACTGCGATCCTCCACGTAATAAGAATAATCTTTTTTACTACTGACCGCAAAACGGTCTAAACGTGCGTTCATCCTGTACGCCAAAATTGCGATTTAAACGGATAGGTGGATACGACTGGGAACAAACGAAGCGCCTTAGGGGGCGACTCCCCTCAATGTTCATCATTGCTGTGTCCAGATCCGTCAAGTGCATGCACGTTTTTATTCCCGAGCGGTTCCAAGACTTTCGTTTCGTTTGTTTGAAGAGTTGACAATTTGCCAGATTGTGTTTTAAGCATAGATGGATATAAAGAAAAAGATTGTTTACATTATAGCACGTGCCAACGACGCTGTCTATTCTAAGCGTCGTGTAGGATAAAATTAAATTTACTGTAATTTTTTTTCGTCATTATTAAAACCCTATGTCTATGTTAAAATTATTATTGGAAAAGGTATTTTAGTTCATTAAAATGATTTTTCATCATCTCGATGGTCAAAACCGACAACTGATATTTCTTATGTTACTCCAAACACTAGATGTCCTGACTATGAAACTTAATCCCAAAATTGTATGTATATTTATATGTTTGATAGTTCTATAAATGAGATTGTTTTGATTTTTCTAATCCTGATTTTGTTGATTGCTTTTGTATTTTGATTTGTGTCCATACTTGCTTCTTAGTTATTTGTGAAATTGTGAATTTTTGATTTCCTTCTGTATTTTGCAAAATTTTGTGCTACGTTGTGAACGTTTTATTGATTCACCATACATCCACTGCGAAATTCAAATAAAGATAAATAAATACAACTAATTCCTAATGTATTTTGAAGGAAAATCTACACAATTGGCAAATTTAACCATACACTAGGTTTTTTAGAAAAATGTCGATAACAAAAATTAAAATCAAAATAATTACAATTATTAAAGATTAATTATAAATATTTTTAAGAAAAATCTGGTTAATTTTGCAGTACAGCATATTTTTTAATAAATAGTAAAAGGATTCACCATAATGGAATATTTCCCAAGTAACACAAAAAGTTATAATAATATAAGGGTTATACTGACGTTGCAACAACTTTTCTTAAAACTCAGCAACTTAGATAGTCTGAATACACTATACCGTTGTTATATATTATTATGCGACTTTTGGTGGATATATACAACCTATTCTACGTTTCACAGTAGTTGCTATAACTTACAACTTTATAAAAAGATAATGTAATTAGATAATTACAAATGGATATAAAATAATTCTGTTTTATCTATAGATTATTATTTATATATCTAAAGAAGACTAATAAGTGTAAACATTTTAAATTTAAACAATTATTCGTTTAGTTTTAATATATATGTTTTTGTGTTAAATTTCATTTTATAATATAATTTATATCAGAATAATTTAAAATTTAACTTAAAACCCCTAAAAATTACAGTTTAAATGTACCGCCATTCTTTG